CCTGTCGTTGGGGCTGGACCTACCGCGTCACGTTGTTGCCGGTCGATTATCAGCCATAGACTTGTACACGTGGCTTATTGGTTCCCATCATGCAGGTTACCCTTGGTCGACGATGTTGCCGCGGCGCAGCACAGGCATTGCACCGAAAACAGCGGATGTCAGCGTTGGGCTATTTTCGTGCTGCCGCTAGAGCTGTCGAAGCAATTCCGTCATCATCGTCATCATGTTTATTCCATCCTTCATCCACTGTCGCTGTCCTGCCACACGGACAATGGCCTGGAGTAGGGGGAGGAGGGGTCGGGTTGTCGTCTTCGGGGTTATGGCGCCAAGCGCTCGCTGATGGATGCAAAGCCCAGAGAGGGGAGGCTTTCCAAGGGCTGGGGGAGGCGGGGGGAAGACTGGCGATGGCGGGAACAAGGGTGAAGAAGGTGGGCGAAGTGGCGGTGGGCCAATCTGCGCGTGGTGGCCCAGGTTTACTGCCCAAACGAGTGCTACCTCTATTCAGCAGAACGGGAGGGATGAGCGAGTGCGAGGCAACAATCCGCGGGAGGTTGCTGCGAATCTCGCGGTGGGCGGGGGGAAAGGAAGCTCCGCGGGGAAGCGCTGACGCCCCTTCATCGGCAACTGTTGGGAGTGTTGGGGGGCGATATCAACAGCAGCATATGGGGGGAGGAGGAGAAGGGCTTGGAGGGGAGGGTAGGCAACGGGCGGGGATGATGATGGGTACTTCTTCTTCGGCTTCCCGCGGGCGTAACAAAAAGACGACGCTCGAAGGGGCGATTGGCCTTCTCCCTCTGAGTCTCCGGCGAAGCTTCTCTGCAGAGGCTCCGAAGCAAAAGGGTTTTGAAAACTTTTATCCGAAGAATAAGAAGGGATTACCGAAAGCGCGGCATGAACAGAAACAGGAGTCGAAGAGTGACACGAGATCGACATCGGAAGAGTCAAAGATGTCTGGCGAAACTCTGCCAAAGGACCAAATCCAACCAATGATTGCGACGTCACTGGCAACGATCGCGCTGCTCGCGACGCTTTCAATGGGTCGATCGGACGCTCAAGAGATCAGTTTCCAGGAATTCAAGAACAAACTGTTGGAGGCAGGAGTGGTCGACAGGGTCGAGGTGTCTAACAAAAGTACGGCGAAGGTTTACGTATACACGAATAGCGGTGGGAGAGGAGGGTTATCGTCACAGAATGGGGAGAGTGGTAACAGTGTGGATGGAATGACTATGCCTCCACACGACGGTGGAGGTAGGACATCATCATCATCTGGAAATAGCAGCAACAGTGTCTACAAGTATTACTTCAACATTGGCAGCATTGATTCGTTCGAAAGGAAGTTGGAAGAAGCGCAAGAGGCATTGGGGTACGATTCCAGGGATTTCGTGCCGGTAACGTATGTGTCAGAGTTGAGCTGGCAAAATGAACTCCTTCGGCTTGCACCCACTGTTCTCTTGATTGCAGGGTATATCTACTTCACGCGACGCATGCAAGGTGGGATCGGGATTGGAGGTGGCGGTTCATCGGGAGGTCGGGGCATCTTTAACGTGGGAAAAGCGCAAGTGATGAAACTGGACAAAAATTCGAAAAATAAGGTGCTGTTTAAGGACGTGGCGGGGTGTGATGAGGCGAAGTTGGAGGTGATGGAGTTTGTGCATTTTTTGAAAAGCCCCGAGAAGTACAGGGAATTGGGAGCGAAGATTCCGAAAGGGGCGTTGCTGGTGGGGCCGCCAGGGACGGGGAAGACGCTCTTGGCGAAGGCGGTGGCTGGGGAGGCCGGGGTCCCGTTCTTGTCGATTAGTGGGTCAGACTTCATGGAAATGTTTGTGGGAGTAGGTCCGTCGAGGGTGAGGGATTTGTTTGCGCAGGCGCGGCAAGCGAGCCCGAGCATCATCTTCATCGACGAGGTGGATGCGATTGGTAGAGCGAGAGGGAGAGGGGGTTTTGCTGGCGGCAACGATGAGAGAGAGAACACGCTCAACCAGCTGCTGGTCGAGATGGACGGTTTCGGTACGACGACCGGAGTCGTGGTTTTGGCGGGAACTAATCGGCCAGACATTTTGGATAAGGCGCTTCTCCGACCTGGACGGTTTGACAGGCAGATTACCATTGATCGACCGGATATCAACGGTCGGGAGCAGATCTTCAGAATATATCTCAGCAAGCTGAAATTGGATCGGGAAGTCGAGTTCTACTCTCAGCGTCTTGCGGCCTTGACACCTGGGTTCGCCGGCGCAGACATAGCCAACGTGTGCAACGAAGCAGCACTGATTGCTGCAAGAAACGACAAAGAGGTCGTGGAGATGGTCGATTTCGAGGCGGCAACGGACAGGATCATCGGGGGCTTGGAGAAGAAGACGAAGGTCATCAGGAAGGAGGAGAGAAGGACGGTAGCATATCATGAGGCGGGACACGCGGTTACAGGTTGGCTACTGGAGCACGCAGAACCTCTTCTGAAGGTCTCCATCGTTCCACGTGGCACTGCTGCGCTCGGTTTTGCGCAGTATTTGCCCAACGAAAACCTTCTCATGACGAAGGAGCAGCTGTTCGATATGACGTGCATGACGCTTGGTGGCCGCGCAGCTGAGGAGGTGTTGATTGGCAAGATCTCGACGGGTGCGCAGAACGATTTGGAGAAAGTGACCAAACTGACGTATGCGCAGGTAGCCGTGTACGGATTCAGCCAAAAAGTCGGGCTGTTGTCGTTTCCTCAGAGAGAGGATGGGATGGAAATGTCCAAACCGTTTAGCAACGAGACTGCAAACATGATAGACAAGGAGGTGAGAGAGATGGTCGACAGAGCGTACGCGAGGACTGTGGCGTTGGTAGAAGAGAACAGGGAAAAAGTCGAAGCTCTAGCCCAGAAACTCCTCGAGAAAGAGGTACTGCACCAACAAGATCTTGTGGAAATTTTGGGGAAAAGACCCTTTGTGAATACAGAGCTGAGCAATTACGATAAGTTCAAAAGGGGATTCTTGGGGCAAGAGGGAGGGGAAAGCGGGGAGGTGAAGGAAGCAGAGATCGCTGTTCCATCGTCAAGTGAGAGACTGACGACCATCGCGGTGGCGTAAATGACACTGGAAGGGTATTACCCCTCATTGTGGCCATTGGAGGGCTTGGAAGGGCTTCCGAAGGATATGTTAGGGCCGCTGTTCTTTCTCTCTCTCTCTCTCTCGCGCGCGCGCGCGCGCGCGCGCTTGCGCGTATCCACGTGTGTGTGCGTGTGTGTGTGTGTGTCGATGCAGGTGCTTCTGTGTCTGGAAGTTTGTTTGTGTGTATAGATGCGGGTGTCTTTTGTATAGATGTTGATGTCTGTTGGTGTGTTAGTGTAGATGTGTGTGTGCGTGTGCGCACGTGTGTAGGTGTGCGTGCGCACAAAGGTGCGAGTCCGTGTGCGAACGCGTGTGTGTGTGTGTGTGTGTGTGTGTATGCGGGTGGCTCGGGTGATCGGGTGGTGTGGAACGGAGCATCTTTCCATGAGAACGGATCGTCTTCTATGTGTATGTGATAGGGCTAAGCAGCTGACGAAATGATGATGTACAGTAAGAATGATTCTCCTCTGAATATCTGAACTCCCTTCGCAGTGAGTTGTATTTACTAGCATTGAACTATCGTAAGCATAGGCACTGATTCAGACAGACAGACAGACAGACAGACAGACAGACAGACGCAGACAGACAGATACAGACAGGCAGACAGAGACACGAGAGACAGACAGACAAACAGACCGACCGACCGACCAACAGACAGACAGATGTGTGTTTGTGCACCCGAGAGAGAGAGAGAGAGAGAGAGAGAGAGAGAGAGAGAGAGAGAGAGAGAGAGAGAGAGAGAGAGAGAGAAATGATTGAAGGGCGTGCGGCTATCCACCGCATTATGCCACTTGGCAGGTATGTCGGGATCAAGGTTGCAGGGTCTTGAGATGAACAAAAGGGAGCACGAGCAAAAGGGGAAAGGGTGTGAGGAGGTACGATGAAAGCAGGCTGGTAACGAAGTAGAGGGAAAACAAGAAGAAGAAAGGAAAAGAGGAATACTAATAATTTAAATAGTAGTAATAAGAAGAAGAAGACGTAGAGCAAGAAGAAAATAATAGAGAATAGCGAGAGGACAATGGCCAGTCTTCCAAGCATCAAGCCATAGTCTTCATTGAACAAGCTCGGACATAATGGAGCTCAGAAATGCACATGTTCCCCAACGTGTGTTGCCAGGCTCGACCAGTTTCTCTACCTAACTAAGCCATCCGAGGCCGCTAACCGGGTTGATTCATCTCATAGTCTGGCCTACTACCTTATCGCAGCCCTAAGGTTGCGGTATAGTGGGCTTCGACGTCTGTGTCAAGGTGTCGCATTTTTGGCGGCGGGCGACGACAATGCAAGTGGGTTCTTAGGGGGGCGGTGGGGGGCGGGATTTGGGGGACCGGTCCTTCAAGATATTGCAGACTACCTGCAGCTAGCTCTTGTAGAACGGGGACTTTTGGAAAAAGGAAGGACTGGTCTTCGGGTGGAAGCAGACCCCCAAAAGAAGTGAAGGCATATGAACTGCGAAAGGGCCCTCAGGCCGAGGCGTTGAGGCCGGTCTTCTCAAAACAGGGAGGTTAGGTGCAACGAAACAGGTGTTTTGCAAGAAGCAACTTTGACAACTTTCTGTGCTAGGAGGAATGTGCAGAAAAATCTGAAATTTTGAGAATCCATAGATGAAGTCGTGTTATCAGAACAATTGCAAAAAACATTAACACCATGAAATAATCGCCGCGCCGATTCGGCACATTTTCCATTTTTGCCACACAGCCATGTGTGGGCCAACTGAAAAAGTACTCCAAATTCAGTGAGTTTTTGTGCTCAGAAGAATGCGTTAAAAGACCTGAAAATTGGAGTACTAGTAGATTTTGTTGTGATCTTTCCAGGAAAAATGCTAAATGAAAAAAATAAAATCATTCCAAATGTGAAATAGATCGCGGCTGCAATTTGACCCATGTTTCAATTTTGCCATTCAGCCCCCCCCCC